AGGCACTAACGCTCGAAACGTCAACTTTGAAACTCTTTACAGTGGACAATTTACGTTACTAACTAATATGCTAATACCAAATCACCTTGTTCCAGGCTAGGTAATTTCAAATTTCAATTCATTATCATCAAAATTGCAAAATAATTTAGTGCAAAAAAAAATAAATAAAGATCGTTCACCTGCCGTTTACGTGGCAGCTTTTTAAGAAAGAGTTTTTCAATTGACATGTGGGAGTTTTTTGGAAGTAAAAAAGAGCACCTTTTATTTTCGGAATGTGCTTTGGGAAGAGCGCTCAAGAATCTTCGCAGTATTGGATGATCCGAGCAAGGTTGCGTCAAAGATAGGAAAACGGTGTGGAGTCGTTCTCGGTAGCCGTTCACTGCATTAACTACATTCAGACGGTGAAAAAGTCTCTCAATATAGTCTTTTCTTTCCTGAGAAAAGAGGGGTTGTAACTTACACTCTAATTAGAGGCGGATTGAAGATCCAAGCATTTTCCGTTAGATGGTTGTTTTCTAAATAAAGAGTTAAGCTCAAAAGTGTTTGACATACTCTATGTAGATTAACTTGCAGACAAAGAGAAAGGTTACATAGACAAAGGTTTTTTCAATTTTCTTCTTGTTGCGAGCGTGGAACAAAGAAAAATTCTGAGTCCTTGTAAGAAATTTAGCCTTAGGCTAGGAATTCTTTGCCCTTACCACTAAACAACAGAGACTCAAAGGAAACAAGGCCATAACTTGCTTCATGTGTGACACGTGCCCTAAAGGAATCAGCAATGTCATTTCATTCAAATCCTTCCTATTTTAACAGGTAAATGGTATTTCGGTGGACTAGCTTTGAATTAAACATGAGAAAAGTAGATCATTTTTAATGAATTCGCTGGATTTTCTCTAGCCTAATGCTTTATTTCCTGTTTTCCACGCAATTTAATAACAGCTAATACTTAAAAATCGGTTTTATCCACAATTATTTTAGAGACTCTGCCGACAACATTTCGAGATGTCCTCGAAAGAAAAAATTGCAAGTTGTAAATATTCCGCAGGCTTCTGTTAAATTAAGAATCCTTCCAGAGACGGTGATATATCCAAGCTACTCCGAGTCAAATCTTATTGTTCTTATACCTCTTGACATGGCTTCACCAAGCATTTAAAATCAAAAGACAAACAAATTACAAAAAGCAAGGAGGAAAGAACATTGACTATCACATACAACAAATGTAAACTAGCACACAACTCGATTTGATTTTTTATTTCCACACAGATCAGCAAGCACAAGGCAAATCATTTTGTAACCAGTGGTCTCCAGTTGGGAGATAAAAGTTGGTTTTTATCCCCTTAGTTACCCCTTTTTCTCCTCCTTAGGTGCCCTGTATTTGTTGTATCATTTGTTTCCATTCGTCTTTTTTATCATATCCACTTTTCAATTTATAAACTTTATTTTGTTTTCCTTCTGTAGATGTGCTGTGTAGTGTTGCTTAACCCGACTTGAAGGACTCCACTGACCGCGTGCTTCGCAGGACTATCTACCTCAAGAAGAATTGAGAGAGTTAATAGTCAGTCAATTATTTTCAACTCATCGCCAGAAATCAAGGACATTTCGAGCCCGCTAACAATTATCAGCGGTATATCGTATTACACTCCGGAACAATAGAATATCAAGAGAATTCAATATGGCGGCGATCACGGCTCGATCTGCAAAGAAGAGTTTCGTACCATGACTTATACAATTTGAGCACCGCAGATCTTCTATTACATGAAAAGAAAAAGAAAAGAAGACCTGCAAGTAAATCTTTGGGATTTTTCGAGGCGGAGCGATGACATGATGTCAGAATTTTTATTTGCTTTAACTTAACTTTCGCGCTAAGACTGCTGAATTTGCATTCAGTGCCTGGCATATTTTTATTCCGAAAAGGACCTGAGAACTAATTTATTTCCCTGCAAGAACATAAACAAATATGGCCGACGATTCGAAGATCAGCGTTGCTTGTGTTTAACTATTTCAGTCATAGTTTTCAACATGGAAAATAAGGGATATTCTGGCGCGTTGGGAAGTTTTTTGATGGGAGGAAATGGTAATTTTACAGGATATTTGGACGCTTCGAACTCTGTAGCAGTCAATTCGATCGAGAGCAGTTGACTTTATTGATGCACTTTCCTGTAATAGGCGAGTGTTTGGGATGATGAACGACGGATTTTGAAGAACTGTATGACGACCTAGGTCAATGATCAATGACAAAAGAACTGGCTCGGGAAGTAAGTGGTTTTTATTTATCGAGTCCCTGTGAGGTTTGATGAATTGCAGAATCAGTACTGAATATGTCTCGATCGAGAGCAGACGGGACCATGAGCTCCTGATTGTTATATTTTAGAAATTTTTACAAATTTCCATACAGTTTCTTACATTATTTGGACGCCATTATGGAAGAAATACGCAAGCGCGGCCGCCATCTTGTCCAATATTTCTGCCGATGGTAATTAGCAGACAACTTCATTCTTTTTAGGCTACGTTCACACGGCACCGGACAAATTTTCGACCGGTGGGGAATTCGTGCGTTTAGACGTTTCGTTCACATGGAACCACGTCAAACGTACCAAAATTTGGACGCCCAAGCGTTCAAAATTTTGCACACCAAAATTGAGGACGAATTTTTAGCCGGTGCAGTCAATGATTTGACCGCCACGGTGTGCATATCTTAAACATAGAAATTTTTGTACTGTGAAGGCGTGGCTGCATGGATACGTGGTATCTAAGTAAAATAACATGGGAGTCACCATGACGAACAGGGGAAGAAAAAATGTCAGAAATACCAGTGGTCAGCGGTGAAATAGCTTTCATGCCGCATGTAGAAACAAATCATTTGCTGCTCCAGTTAATAATCGTGTTATTTATCCTAAAATGATAACAGTATATAGAATATGAGAGATGGTAAGTTTTGAGCTCGGTGAGGAAATATAGAAGGATGTTTTTCGTCTTGTCATTAGCGTGGGACGAAGAGAAAATCTTTCTCTATTTCTTTACGGATTTCAAAACTTACCATCTCTCTTATTGTATTTACAAACATGACGCTATCGACATTGCTGATCCTAACAGAATGCAGGACAAGTGGCATGTGAACTTCGCATAAGACCTCTCTGTAGCTCAGTGGTAGCGCATCGAAGCGCGGAATCCGTAGGTCTGAGGTTCGATTCCTCATGGGGACTCAAAATTTTCTCTTTGTCCCACGCTCGTGACAAGACGAAAAAACATATTTCTCTGTGAACAATAAATATGCTTCGCTAATTAAGTAAAAAGTTAAGCAATTTTTCAAAAGTGTTGACTGCACATATATCTTTTACTGCTTTAGTAAACAATGGGTGGATAAAAACGTATTAAAGACTCGAAAAATAAATGAATCGAGAAATACATTTTTGGAAAGTTGCTTAGCTTTTCATTTTTCCGGAAAAAAAAAAAACAGTGGAGATTGCAAAATTCGAGTGAAAAGCAAGCCAACTGTGATTTACGCCTTGAACAACCGGAAGTCAATTAAGATACTTTTTTTCATCCCACAACAAGTTACAAAACGTCACAAACTTTATCCGATTATTAGTTCCATCTGAACAGAACGAAACTTTCGCACGGTTCCAAGTGAACAGAATATCTGGTCGAAATTTTCGGCCGATCGAAAACTCGTCCGGTGCCGAGTGAACGTAGCCTTAATATTCGAATATTACTAAAGGTAAATCGTTAATCGCGAGAAAAACAGCAACAAAAAGAATCCAGTCACTTGCCGTATACATGACAGCGTGCTTGAAACAAGAACAAGAAAAAATAATTTAGGGTAAATCAGGATTATTAAGTGAGTTGATAACTTAATTAACCTCCGTAAAGAGTTTGAAAGCTGACGCTTTGAGCGTTAGCGTGAGAGCGACTGGAGCAATTATGGGGTGTGTATGGGTTTGTAAACAAAATATGGAGCTACGTTATTGGTGGGAATATGGTGACGAGAAAACAAGAATAAATTGAATGAAGGTTGCTCGTTGATACCGTAGAGATTAAGGGTGCCTATTTTAAGAGAATTTTTGTTCTAAATTTTTGCTGCTTTTCGAACTGCCCAGATGTAAGGAAAGGCCGCAAGCTGCCATATGCTGCTTAGAATGATTAGGGAGATTTAAGTGTCTAGCAACTGGTTTGGATGCGTCCTTGTCATTTCTTTCTACGTCGCGAAAGTGTTCTCGGAATTGGTCACCTAATCGTCTCCCTTCCAAGAAACTAGAAGCTTACCTCACCATTAATTAGATACTTGAAAAAAATGGGACCTCGAGCTTCTTAATACGACCCTTAAATTTTTCTTGACCACAAGAAATAACCCTGCTAAATTTGCGGCCATGAAAGAAGTAAGTAAATATAGTGAATTAAAAGTTAAGATAGAGATGGGCTAACGACGTAACATCTGACACCTGTCGCCGTTTCGATCCTAAGTCAACACAGGTGCGACACGTAGAGAACAAAAATTCAAGTATTTTTAGAATAACTTCGCATTTGTAACCTGCATTAATTTTGAAATTGGACTTTTTCTCTCAGTTTACCCTTGTTGATAACAATTCATAGCGTCCCAAGATTCCCGTGAATTAGTAATTCACCGTCGGCCAATACGTTGGTAACAGTGTCGGCAAACAATCGGTCAACTGTCGACCGATTATCTGTCGACTTTCGATATCCTTTCACCGGTGGTTTATTTAGGTGAAGAGGTTTTTGTTCTGTTTTATTGTAAAATTTACCTACCACAAATACAGATTTCCTCCCCCTAATTGCTAATTCAAATCGCGCAGAAAAACCCGCCTATTTTTCTCTTTCTTGTAACAAACCTCACAGCTTTCGGGCATTTTACATAGTCAGATGCCAGTGATAAATTTTTACTCTATGTAATTGTTATTCAAAAGCTAAGGTTTAATTGATCTTGACTTGGAGGGTGCTGTTAAGACGAAATATCCTTCGTTGTAACTGAGGATAACGATAGCAGGATGATGGCGAGAACAAATATAACGGGAAGTGGAACACATACGCAAGCATTCGAAGAATCACTATGCTCCTCGGTTTGGGTAGGTGAGTTTAAACAGCAGTCCATTTCACTCTCAGCAGTCAACATTCTTCTCTCCATCACAGCAACTCTTGGGAATTCTCTTATCCTTGTTGCCCTTCACAAGGAATCTTCTCTCCATCCGCCATCCAAACTCTTGTATCGTTGTCTGGCAACAACTGATCTGTTGGTTGGTCTTGTTGCCCAGCCTATCTATGCTGCCTATTGGATGTCCGTGGTTCACGAACACTGGAGTCTTTGCCGATTCTCATTTTACGCAAGCGGCGTAACAGGCTATGCGTTATGTACAGTTTCCATGTTGACGCTGACGACCATAAGCGTGGACCGACTTCTCGCCATGTTGCTTGGACTGAGATACAAAGAGATTGTAACTTTGAGGCGCACATACATCATTTTAGCTATCTTTTGGATTGTATCTCTAGTCTCTGGCTTGTTCTTTCATCTTTATTACCGTATAACTTTTTGGATCAGTGTTACAGTTGCACCATTATGCCTAGTTATCTCGATCGTCTCGTACACAAAGATTTTTCGCGCTCTCAGTTATCATCAGGCTCAGATACAAAATTATACTCAACAACAGCCGAGCCAACAAAATGCACTGAACATGGCGCGGTATAGAAAGGCAGTGTACAGTGCACTGTGGGTGCAGTTAGTATTAGTTGTTTGTTATGTACCAAACATAACAGTGGAAATTGAGATATCTTTGAGTTTAAAGGGATTATCGAATTTCATCGTAATCAGGGGAATAACAAATGTCTTAGTGTTATTTAACTCTACTTTAAACCCGTTCCTTTACTGCTGGAAGATAAGTGAAGTGAGACAAGCAGTAAAGGAGACAATCAGACAAGCAATCTGCTGTGCATATGGGTACACCTATTTTAACGTTGGCATGTAAATTATTTTCCATACCTTGTATGAAAAATTATAGACTTTAGGATAGAGGGGAAGATATGCCATTTCATTATAAAGGAAAAAGTAAGGAAAAATAGGAAGAGCTACCTCTAAATAGTATATTGTATTCGGATTATCTAACGAGAAACTAACAGGTGAAAAATTGTGGTTTAGTAGCCATAATAAACAATGACATGTCTCTAATTTGCGCATTTGTGTAATGCGTTTAGGATTTTCCTTTGCCATCAAGACTTGATGAGATATGTCACCTGAGCTCAATAATGTGGTTTAGTGATAACGTGCTGTTAACGAAGCCAGCCGCTCAATTTTGTCATGATTGGAAATGAGCCATAATGTTTCACAACGAAACTTTGTAAATTAAAGATGCGGATTTTGTTAATATCTGTGTAAAGAAACAGAAGGAAATGCTTAGAAAGCAAGTTATCATCTCTATTTCATATAGAGTTATCGTTTGAGACCAATCGTTTGCCTAAGATTAAGCTCGCAAATTATATTATTATTCGTTTTACTAGCTGAAAGCGTTAACAGGCTGTGTTGTCACTCGATAAGCTGTCAATAAAAGCTGTGATGCAGCAAAAGCTGTGATTACGAGTGACTACTACAGATATTTTCTTCGAGTCAGTAGTGGAGCCTCTTATTACGAAAGAGGAATCGAGAGAAAAAATGAATGCAATCACCTGTTGTATACATAACAGCTTTAATTGTTACTTCGATAATGTTTTGCAAAGGTTTCTGTAGCTTCATGCTTTGCGCATTTGGTAGCAAAACTGTGTTATAAAAGGCTAGTTTTGTTTTAAAAAAATTAATAAAAAAATTTAAAAATTAAAAATAAAAATAAAAACCATGGCTAAAATAACATGGTATCGGGGACCATAGATTCATCCGAGTGAAGTTTTATAATTGCTTCCTAACCGAGTAACATCTACGCTGCAACCCTTTTGTTTTTCAGTCTGCCGTCCCGTGATCACTGCATTGGCATAAGCACTTCGTCATCTGTCAATAGCTTTCAGCGAAGGTTTTCCTTAGCCAAACACTGATTTTTTTTCACCATTTATTTTGACACAATTGCCATAGAGAGTATGAATTTGTCCCTGTTATGAGATGCCATTTCCGCATTGTCATTTACCAGTTTGATAAACAGGTAAGTAGGACAAACAGACAGCTTTGTTCTATAGCAAAATTCCGCCTTAAAATCTGAGATAATTTGCACACAAATCGTCTCCCGTGAGTGGAATATTTGAATTAATATCGTTTGAGTAACATTTCCACCCTCGGATCTATCTTGAGACCTTCTGGGCTATAAGGCAGGATGAATTGTCGTAAAATTTCTTTCGCTGAACAACTGATTCCCTTTTAGGATCGTTATTTTATGCAAGGCACACATGCTAATCTCTGGGGTAATTATGATATGTTTTGCGGTACAAAAGACACTTGAGATCGTTTGTGTATTTCAAATAGGGTAAATGATACCGTCTGAATGCTTGAGTATATTTTTATTATTAAAAGGTGAGGTTTAAGCCACAGTGGATGTGAAGTTGTTGTTGTGAAGGCGAAATATCTCTGTTATATCCGAATGTTATATCCAAAGAAAAGTAGATACTGATGATGCCGACCACAAATTTAGCAACATTTGAAAGGCAAACAAAAAAATTTGAAGACCTAGTTTGCTCGCCATCATTGGCAGGTGGATTGCAACAACAATCAGTTTATTTCACGGCGGTCCACATTCTTCTCTCACTTATGGCATTTTTGGGAAACTTTCTCATCCTTATTGCCCTTCACAAAGTATCTTCCCTTCGTCCACCGTCCAAAGTCTTGTATTACTGTTTGGCAGCAACTGAATGTCCTTGGCTCACGAAGAGTGGTATCTTTGTCGATTCGCATACAAAGCAACGTACATAACAGCCTATGTATTATGCTCAGTGTCTTTGTTGACAATGGCGGCCATAAGCGTGGACAAACTTCTCGCCCTGTTGTCGGAGCCAAGATACAGACAAATTGTAACTTTAAAGCGCACCTACTTCATGGTAGCAACCTTTTAGGTACTGCTTGGTGTCGCTGGTTTATGCTACATTTTAGACTACCGAATAGATATGTGGTGTGGCCGTATAATTATACCATCTTGCCTAATAATCTCAGCCGCCTCGTACACAAAGATTTTCTGCGTTCTCAGTCATCACTAGGCTCAAGTAGAACAACAACAACAGAGCCAACCAAATCCACTAAACATTTTGCGATAGGCAGTGTATAGTGCACTATGGGTGCAGTTAGCATTAGTTGGTTGTTACTTGCCAATAGGCATATCGGGAATTGTGATCGCATATAGTAATACATACTCATCACATTTAATCGTCACCTGGGGAATGGCACTTGTTTTAGTTTATTTTAACTCGGCTTTAAACCCCGTCCTTTATTGTTGGAGAATCAGTGAGATGAAACAAGCAGTAAAGCAGACAATTAGCCAAGCATTGTGCTGTCCATTGAATTAACTCTCCTCTGACTTACACAAGTATCAATACTGAAAAAGCTGATTGATGAAATTACGGCTGCAGGAAGAGAAGAAACGATTTTATCAGTAGAAGCTGTCAGGTTTAGATCTATTGTCTTTTTCTAATGATCAAGGGTAAGGTAAAGAATCGCAATACCAACCATACCTCACCAGTAATGTGTTTATAATGGTGATAACAACTTACATATTTTAGAAACAAACTTGATGTTTGATTTCACTATCTAATCCAATATTTTTTGGCACTATAGATGAAGAAAATAGAATAAGTAAGATGATAAATTTTGAGTCTGTCAGGTGCGTAAGATGAAGAAGAAATTCTGAGTCCTCCACAGGAAAGTATTGGAAAAATTTTCGCCATAACCATCACGGATGGACGCAAAAGCGGGTCACTGGATTGAAAGGAGACAAAGTTATGAAAATGTTTTCTTGTCCAAATATTGTATCACCTGCGGAAATGATGTAATGATGTGAATGTTCCTGGTTTCCATAGCACGGCCATTAGTGCCTGTCTCTCAAAAATCGTTCTCCCCTCTTACCTTGATATGAAATTTCCCTAATGAAAATAAAAATATCATTCGCTACTAAAAACACATCTTTTCAAGTTTGAAATGTTCGATATGATATGATCACTATCCATCTAAGAACCAGCAAGTTACAAGTTTCGATCAAAATTTTTACTCGAGGTAAAATATCTTGAATTATCCATCAGAATCGAATTCAGACTAGGATCATTGTTTTTAACACGGTCTTAAAGTTAGATTGATAACTGAAGGGGAATATTCTTGAGTTATCTAATGAGTAGAAAAAATATTAGCCCCAATCAGTTGTCATGTGTATTTAAAAAAAAACCGTTCCCCATCTTATTTCCAAATTCGCTATGTAACAAAGGAAAATAATCGAAAAGCAAATTTATGCAGAATGCAATTTCTCGCCCTAGTAAACCAACTTCCACTTTTGAGTTGGATCATTTAGAATAGAGTGGAATGAAAACGAATGAATGATGGATAAAAACGCAATGAAAGAAGTACGTAAGATTTTTTTCCCGCGCGTTGCAAAACATTTGAAGGGTTATAAACAAAATAACCTGTAATGACTCGAAAATATGCTCGATCGTATGTTAGTCTGTACGTAAAAGCTCACAGTTTTCTCAAGCTTCGCTCAGAAAAACGTTTGTGACTATCTCTTTCACAACCTTCACTAATTTCATTCAAACGCGACAAAACATACGCAACTTTTTTGGTCAGAAATTCATTTTAAACTAACGACAACCTGGAACTTTCAAAAGCGCTCGCTCACGATGCAAAACTTGGGAAATGTCTGACCCAAGAGATACATCAAGATTACTGATCACTTCACGTAAACCTCCGCCAATGTCATCTACTGCATAACTTACACTTATTTCAAAAAGTTATACATCAATGAATTAGAAAGACGACTAGGTGACCGATTCTGAGAACACCTTCGCGACGTAGAAAGAAATGACAAGGACGCATCCAAACTAGCCGCTTGACTCTTGAATCTCATTGCGGCGTTTCCTTACATCTAGTCAGTCCGGAAAGCCACAAAACTCTGGAGCAAAAATTTATCTCTCAAATCGGCATTCTTAATGATCAGGGTATCAACGAGCGCTTTTCATTCCAGTATCTCTATTTTCTGCATATAAACACAACCCACAGTCCCTCCATTCGCTCTGACGAAGCGCCAGCGCTCGAAACGTCAGTTTTGAAACTCTTTCCGGTGGCCAATTTCTGTTATGCTGATTATACTAAATTACCCTGTTCCAAGCTATGTGAGTTGAAACCGCAATTCAATATCATCAAAAGAATTTAGAGCAAAAGAAAATCGTTTACGTGGCAGCTAAAGGTTATCACATATTTTCTAGTGCAGTATGGAATAGATAGGCGACAGGAATTTTCTAAATAACCTGCTAAACTGTACGAGCCTGTAAGGCAAATCCAGTTTGATACGTTTAATAGATATTCAGATGTTTTTCATGGGAAAAAAACGAGAAAGCATCTCACAATTAGTGTATAGAAGCAAAGCAAAGCAGAAATGATTCATATAAACTCTCAAAAGGCCAATGAGCATTTGGTCAACGCAACTCCGTTCAAACAAGTAATAATCTAAGACTTCTGATATTTTTTTCTTTTATTCCGGCTGAATTGTTTGTCATATCTATATGAACTGAATTAATTACCTCTCCTTGGAATTATTTTACCTGAAAACTGCATTTCTCTCAGCCAATCTGCATGAGGAAATTTCTCTCACTTTCAAATATAACTCGTAATCATACTCCTACCTCGATACCGCTAAAAGTTTTTATTTTCCTTTTGCCGAGACTGATAATGATTAAAGACCTTCAAGAATACAAAAATTATATTTTACCTAACCTGTCAATGGAAATTTTAGTATTTGAATAAGAGGGTGTTTTAATTTGCACCACATAATGTAAATTCGTACCTGAGGCACACTCACACATAAAAGAAAACTATTGATAAAAACTACAGACAGTTGTCTCGCGCTTTGCTTAATGTGATTATCATTATCAGGAAGGCATATTTACGAGTTAGGCGAGTGTTAGTAAGACGAAATCTCTCCCGTTCCGATCGGTGGTAGCCTCCAGTAAAAGAAAATGACAGAGAGAATGACTTTAAAAAACAGTTCTACGGAAGATGGAATGCACCCGAATACCTTTCAAGAGCAGTTCTGTTTTCAATCATTGGTTGGTGAATTACGACAGGAATTAATCTCTTTCTCAGTGGTTAACATTGTCCTCTCCACGACAGCATTTCTCGGGAATTTTCTCATCCTCGTCGCCCTTCATAAGGAATCTTCCCTCCATCTGCCGTCCAAACTCTTATATCGCTGTCTGGCAGCATCTGATCTGTTGGTTGGTGTTGTTAGTCAGCCTCTCTTTGCTGCCTATTGGATGTCCTTGGTTCACGAGGAGTGGAATCTCTGTCGAAACCTATATGACGCAGTCCACATAGTGGGTTTTGCGTTATGTCTAGTCTCCCTGTTCACGTCGACGGCCATAAGCGTTGACAGACTTCTGGCCTTGTCGTTGAGACTAAGATACAGGCAAATTGTAACTCTGAAGCGCGTGAGAATAATTGTGGCCGCCTTATGGCTTGTATCCGGTTGCGCTGGTTTATTCTACATCTTGGATCCTCGTATATCCTTTTGGCTTGGTCGAATCCTAACCCCATCTTGTCTTCTGATCTCAATCGCCTCGTACGCAAAGATTTTCTGCACTCTCACTCACCATCACGCTCTAGTGCAAGATCAACTGGCAAGCCAATCAAATGCTCTGAACATCGCGCGGTATAAGAAGGCAGTGTACAGTGCAATATGGGTGCAGTTAGCATTAGCTGTGTGTTTTTTACCATACAACATACAGGCGAATGTAATCAACCATAGCCAAACATATTCATCACATTTCATCGTCATCTGGGGAATAACGGTTGTTTTATTTTTCTTCAAATCATCTTTAAACCCTGTTCTCTACTGCTGGAAGATTACCGGAGTTAGAAAAGCGGTAAAGCAGACAATCACTCAAGAACTTTGTTGTCCGCGGGGTTAAATCTTCTTTGACCTCCGTCTGGATGACAGCTAGTCTTGTGATTATCATTGTTGAATTAAAATATATCGATTTCAACAGCTCCCATCTAGCGTATCCGTAATTCTGTCGTTTTCCGCTGATATAATCATAAAGTCAAGCCGGGGAATGCTGCTGATTTTTGAAAAATAGCTGGTTTAATCGAGAATGAAACGATACATTGTTTTAGGTTACGTAATAACTTGCACCTGGTCTTTATCCTCTTGTAAATCCTGTCGAAATAAAAGCGTAGCGTTAAGAAGAACCTTGGTGACTCTGTTTGTTATAAATTTGAATTCAAACCACATAATAGAAATAAGTTAGCCTATCCAACTCTTTTTTTCATCTTTCCTGAGACCCATCTTGGACGTAACTTGAGGCTAGCAAAAAATCCCACGCAATTGCTCGTCGCTGAGAGGTTTCATGTTTCTCGTTATGGGTAATTACAATAATTGTAATGCAAACGCATGAATAGTATTTTTGACCAAACAAAGGAAAAAAAAACCAGTTAGGTCGCGCACTTCAAATGAACTAACAATATATGGGAAGTTGATGTTGTGAAGTTTTTATGAAGAGTAAACAATTTGCTGTTCGTGGAGTGGTTTACTGGAGTGGTTTTCTGCAGTGTTATCGCAAAATATCTTCCGTTATATATGTACAGAGAACAGCAGAAAAGAGGAAACGAGGGGTTTCTACATGATAGCAATAGGAACTTGATTTTTTCAGGAAGTCGATTGATCACACAATGATTTTAGAATTACAAGCGTCATTTCAATCCAATGACTGTTATTATTTCGTAATAGTAATATTGCGAAATAATTGTTACAGATGTTATTGGATGCTTGCCTTCAAATGCTAATTCCACTTTAAAAAAGTGGAATAAATTCATTATTGTATCCCATTAGGTAAATTGCAGACAGTATGACCAAAAGGTCTGGATAGCAGCAGATATGTAACAAATTAAAGAAAATAAACTACACTTTTTTAGAAACATGTTTCGACAGTTCTCCTGTCATCTTCAGTTCTGATTTTACAAAGTACGAAGTTGAATTTAAACTGTATAACAAAATGCTGATTGGACAAAACAAATAATGGTAACAGAACAATGTATATAATTACAAGGAAAATTTTAAATTAACATGATAAAGTTGATGATTAAGTGTGGGTTGCTCCCATTGAATATCGCACTCGACTATTTTAGCATCTTAGATCACGCTTCCACAACTTTCCAACTTAAAATCAAAGAAGCTATCCACATTCAATGGGAGCTGACGACGCACCTGGCGATTTTATTCGCCAGTCGCGGCGAATTTGATCGCGGACGAAAATCGCCGATATATGACATGCCAGATATCGGCGTAAATGCCAATCTCGGCGGTCGGCGAAAATCGCAATCGCTGCACCGAGCACACCTGGCGATTTTCGCCGATCGTCTTGATCGGCTTGCGAAATCGCTAAGTACGTCGCTGGTCTTGCATGAAAGTGGGGAATGTTGCTGATCTTTGAAGTACAGCAATGTTAATCGAGTATCAAAGATGTTGTAAAATAGAATTTAGAGGGAGAGCACATCGTTTTTAATTGCGCAATAATTAACTTGCTACTTTCATATTTCGTTTGTAATTCATGGCTCTACAGAAGAATCTGGAAAAGTCTGTTGAATAAAAAGTTAGATTCAACTGCTTTTCAAAATAAGTATGCTTGTTTGACCATTCATAAAATTTTGAATAGTTTTATTTACTTTGAGATATATTTTTTTACAGATTTAACATCATTTTAGCTTGAATTTTTTATATCTAATTTGACAAAGGTGATTTTTATCTCACCGGTGTCTAGATCGTAATGCGATCATTTTGGAAATCATCTACCCTTGAACATGTTGAATAAAATTTTATCTTAACGCAGGCAGTGGTTTCGTGGCATTGTTAAACTAAGATCTTACAAACATTTTCTTTAACGTTCATTCCTAAACTTAGACTTTTCTTATCTGTTGCACGAAATACAGTCACACACACACACACTCCTATTTAGTAATACTGAAACATTCCACGCGTGGCTTTGATGCAAAAACGCTTCAGTTATAGCTTTTAAAGGAACTTCCGGTGGAGGAGTGGATTGATTTTGGGGGGGTGGGGTGGATAGGCGTATAAATTGTTTTTGGTGTCTTGGCGCATCTCTCCAGGATATAATTTGAGGCTGGCATAAAATCTCACGGATCGAAATGGTTGTCGTTAGGAAGTCATATGATTCAGTTTATCGGTAATAATAATTCTACACCACTCACACGAACTTCAAGGGAAAACTGTCATGTTTTTGTCATGTCTTCAGTTCGGTCGCACATGTTTGACGAATAATCAATTTTTAAGGAAGTTTAGTGAAATTGTTGAGTAGAGCTTTTACTAATTGTGATCAGGCGAGTGCCTTTCTAACGACATATCTCCCATTACAGGCATGACAAACCTGTGGTAAAAAAGAGAACGATTAAAGTGTATTAGATTTCAAGGAATTTACAGTAGGTGGAACACGTGAACTGTGTGAAGAACTGATATACTCTCCAGCTGTGCAGTCAGTCCGTCACTAGGCTTCCATGGTCAGCGGATTAGAGGCGACGATTTTCTAGTACGCTAACAAATTATCGTATATAAAAAAGACGTTTTTCGTCTTTACACGAGCGTAGGAAAAAGAAAAAAAGAGTACCCATGAGGAATCCAACCTCAGACCTTCGGAGCCCGCGCTCCGATGATCTACCACTGAGCTAAAGAGACTCTTCGGTCAGCGAGGTCTATTACGAAGTTCGTATTACACGCGTCCTGCATACTGCTAGGATCAGCAATGCCGATAGCGTCAGAATGAGAGAGATGGAAAGTTTTGAGCTCGGTAAAGAAATAGGGAAAGATGTTTTTCGTCAGAATATTTTCTTTGTCCCACGCTTGTGACAAGGCGAAAAACATCTTTCTCTATTTCTTTACCGATCACAAAACGTACCATCTTCCTTATTCCAAATTATCGAATAGGTTGAAATATAGATTTACCGCGCATTCTTAACCCTCCTCGTTATAAATCCCTTATTAGGCAATAAAAATAGCAGGATCACTGTCTCTCAGCATGCTACCGTCATTCCCCCCCCTCCCCCCTACAAAAATTGTGTAAAAATCCTACCGTTCGCGATGAACGCTGGGATATTTCAGATGGTCTATCAACAGAGTTGAGATGCATGAAAGTAACGTGATTTGGCGAAGACGATCTCAAAAGCTGTAAGTTTCTTTAGAAAGAAACTCTCTTGGGTGTTCTGGGCTTGAATGGTTAATCTAAAAAGAGATTCAAGACTGAGGAGTTCATTGCTGCCTTTACTCATGTCGCTAACACTTGAAATGCTGTTAAGTTAGCTGAAAACATCCGTTACGTAAGGAGAGGGTACGTATCGACGCAAGGATAGTATCTTTGGCTATGAACTCGCTCTCGAACTTTTAACCATCGCTAAACCGTTTTATCCTCTTCAGCAATGGGTAGCCGAGTCATTTTACCGACAGTCTCATCAAGGTCTGCCCGTCATCTTGCCAGATCTTATCATGGGTCGACACAGGACAGTTTTAGCTCTGGTTTCGATGACTTTACCGAACCACTTCTTCGCAGAACCAGTTTTGAAGGTTCGGTCCACTATCAATCGATTTATGATTCTTCTGAGTTCAACGGTGGCCAGAGAAATCGCATCGAAGTCATGAGAAAACGACTCAAATCGCATTTCATGAATCCGTACCAAAAGTACAAGCATCGTGGAAGAAAACCTTGGAAGCTTTTATTACAACTGCTCAAATTAATCATGGTTACTGTCCAGGTAAACTCATTATTATTGTTTGGATACGTTATTAATTCATATTCCTCTGCTTGACTAAATGTAACGTGGAAGTAATTATTTTCTTAGTTCACTCATGATCTAGTTGATTCCGTTCAACGTTAAACCTTATATTTACAGCTACGAAGTCTGTAGTAACTTTTCAATTTTTAATTCAAGCCATGCTTGATACATAACTGAATTCTTTAACGTCCACATATTTGTATAACGGTGAACGTTTTGAACCAAGAAATGACAATTGCTGTGTATTCAGATTGTCCGGGTGAGAGAAATCCTGTAAGTCGCAGTTAAAGTTGTACCAGCGATCCGGTATCAATCCTGTCTACGACTACCCTAAGACTCCGACGATCGGACCATACTCGTTACATTGCATTTCTCTCTGTAGTGTTACAAGACTCGCTAACTGAGCTAGGCCATATCGTAATTTCCAGTGTACGAGGGAAAAAAATAATTCTTTTTCTGAGAAGTCTTTTGTGGAAATTGAACAATGGGATTGAAATGTATTGGTGATGTGATGTCATGATCACTTTCAGTTTCAGTTGTTTTTCTGTGTTGTGGTTCCTGATCATGATCTTGTAGTGAACCAGAATTCCTATTCTAGTTTACACATTGTTTGCTTGTTTGCTTTTTTGATATCATTGTTCATGCATGGGAGGATGAAAGAGCTTTTTGTTGTGAGTGGGAGAGAAAAGAGGAGGAGAAGGGAAAACTTGTTGAGTTTTTAGCTAAGAAAGGTTATTTGAGGCATATTCCAAAAAAAAATTGTTCAAATTACATATTTCACCACTGCTAGTGTATGTTGTATATAATTCTTCTTAGGTCTGTTACAATTTCAGTTTCAAAGTGCTAAGTCAGACCCCAAAATTAGCTTGTCATGTGATAGAAGCATGCTTTCTCATGTTAAAAAAAAAGATCCAGAATATCTTTTTAGGTATTAGTAAAATACCCGGTGAGTCATAATGACTACTGAAGCTGACTATGCACTTAAGTCCCTTTTGAAACTTGGTCTCTTCTCATTTAGCAGGGCTCGAAGTTAACTTTTTGGTCGACTAGCAAAGTTTTGCTGGTAAGATTTTTTTCCACTAGCAAACTGGTGAGACCACTAGCAAATTATTTCCTTTTGAAATGTCAATGACCATATCTGATATAAAGATTAGAATTGATATTTCGCACAGGCTAGTAATGAGCTGAAAAGTTTTATAAAAAAGGTGGTAAATGTTTGGTCTCCTTTGTCGTTGTCCTGACAACCACCACCTCTCTACTGCATGTTTGGGAGACGTGGATGATTCTAACTAACAAACGTTTGCTAGTGGAAACTTTTCTCACTCGCAGATTAACAAAATCACTCGCATTTTGCCAGTTTGCGAGCTTTAATTTCGAGCCCTGATTTAGTATCAATATTTTTAAGGCTGGTCACTCTTAGTGGTAAAAGGGGGAACCTTTTAACCACTAAGAGTGACCAGCATCTAATTACTCCAACAGTATCACTCTCAAATCACACATTTAGGTCTAGAGAATATGGAAATCATCAAAAACTAAAGAAGCACTAGATTCTTAAACAAATTTTCCTTGTCAGTACCTTAGGAAATGTGTAGAAAACAGAATGGAGAATGACTGCATACTGATGTTAAGGGTTGACATTTGATAGGCTGAATTATGCTCACATTTTGATTGGTTTTTACTTCAAAGATCTCTGAGTACAGACACATGGTTGACATCAATATTAACCCTTTAACTCCCAGATCAAATTTGAAATTCTCCTTACTGTCAACCATACAATTCATATAATGTTACTTCAGAGAATTCATTATTGCATCTACTAATTATCCCCAAATTGATATTTTTCTCCATTCCCATCACTTACCTGTTTGATATTGTATTGATATTGTAAGGAGAAATTCTGTCTTGGTCACTCATGGGAGTTAAATGATTAACCAGTTTTTGCTTCTGTATAATGTAAATCAGATAAATTCCATGTTGCTGTCTTTGGATGGTAACAGATCACAGATGATGTCAGAATGTGATAACAACATTAGTGACACACTCAGCTGCTTTTCCTTTTTGCCATGTTTCCTCCACTTTTTTTTTTTCAAGATTACACATTTTTGTTTGAAATTATCTGTGAAGAACATATTTTGAATGCATTGCATGCCAGGCATCAAGTTTTGTAATTGATTGGAAGGATCAATATGTAAAAAGGTGAAATTATCACAGCAAGACTACCCAACAGGTTTTTGGCATCATAAGGATTGAGGAATTTGATTTAATTTGTAATATTATCTTTATTTTGTTTTGGCAGGTGTGCCTCTACGCCTCAGAGCTTTTCTCTGTTGTTAACTTTTTGAAAGGTAGTGAGGAAGCATTTAATTATCTGTTCCTTCTGAACCCCAATCAGTCAGACTACTCAATTTACACAAAGGACCAGTTTTACTCTCAAGTCCGTCACACTGTTAGACAGGTTAGTCTGGAATTTTTTTCTGGAACACTGTGTGAGATATACAATGACTTAGCTTGTGATCAGGGTTTTGAGCTGTGGTGAGACCTCCCAATTTTAACCCTGTTTGTGTCAGTATGTTGTTTAGTTGGTTAAGTAGTCCTCTTAGTACATGTATGCACATACATGTGGGCCATTTATTCTTGTGAGTTGCCTGTTGGTCAGATTGTGTTATTACTGCCAATTGCAGTAAACATTTGTGGTTGACTCGGGTTGGAAAGTCATCAGGTGGCTTGCATCATCCTCTTTTCAAATGTATCCAATGTTTTTAATTCTTTGATTCTTAGAAGTGATTAACATGTAAATTCTATGTATAATATCCATACATTATCCAAAAAGCAGGTAATGAGAATGCCCAATTTTATCTTGAAAGTAGAGGGTGTTATCTTGATCTGATACCAAATTCTTGTAACTAATTTACAAGGAAATGTGTAGTGGTTAGAGGGGAGAATTTGTAGTCAGATCTGGAAATTAAAGGATTAAGTGTTTGGTCTAACACTCTTAGTCTGTCTTTCAGTATTATCAAATCCAAGACATAGCTGTTGGAACATTTGGGTATCTGAAAAAAGATGGCAAGATTAATCCACCAATGTTGTGCACGCATCGATACATCAATAGTTCTGTGGACCCAGAAAAAGAGTCTTATTACTTTACACGAAAGACAAGCTATTGTATCCTTACCATATAATGACTTGATGTCAAATGTCAAATTATTAATTCTGTTTAATTCAATTAAATCAGGGCTGGAAAATCTTTTTGTGTGTGTGTGTAGAAATCCTTCAAACTAACAGATACACTGTAGGTCTTACCATCTCAAAGACCATGTTAACCTACAAGTCTCTTTATCTGATCATTATGGTTACTAGTAATCCTTGCTATTGTCAGTGGCACATCCCTGCAAGATTATCAGTCATGAGAATTTGGTATTTTATTGATTTAATGCCCTTGTCTGATGTTTTCTTGTAACCTGTTTCCTGCTGGTTATGGTTTGAAATTGCAAGTAGAAGGTACATGTTAATCCCATCTCAGGGTTGGGAAAGTTATGGGGGAATTAAAACACCTATTTTACTGGTTGGCTGGGCACGCTACATTTCTCTATCTGCTTTTCTGCCTTATGAGAAACGAGTAGGAAAAAAAAAAAACAGTTGTAGAATTAGTAACTCATTAGACATTTTGGTGTGTAGTATTGCTTAGTATTTTTACTTGTTGTTCATGTTTGACTCTACCTCTAGGCTTTTCAGAATATGGCACAACTTGCAAAAATACTCAGCGATACCACTACACACCAAAACATCAAAAAAAAAAAAAAATATATATATATATATATATATATATATATATACATCTTTTGCTTCACCATTAATTATAGAGTAGAGAAATTTGGTATCAGGAGAACAGTGTTAAGCAACTGAAGAATACCCTTCATTCATTTTCCACAATTCTCTGTTTTTCATCTTTCTTTTGAAAGTTCAGCTCCCTTTAACTCTTTATATATTTATAATTATATAGTATTTATTTTGTGATATTGTTTCTAGAAGAAATTAGAATTTGGTGTGTGAGTTAATATGGTTCAAAGTAAAATATTTTGCTTCTTTTCTATTTATTTGAATTAGTGCTTTTGTTATGATCTGTAGGAGGAAAAGACCTTATCATCGCATCTAATGAAATTTCCTTTACACATGAATATACAGCTTGCCATCCTTTGTTAAAAACAAATGCATCTGATCAAAACATCACATACTTCTTGAAACAAAACAAGCTTCCTGAGTCATTTGAAGGGTAATTTAACAACCGAAATCATTTGAAAAACTTGTAACATTGTTTTATATTTTGTGGCTGAAATGTTAGCTTGGCTTGGTAAATACGTTTCAAACTGACTGTTTATTCTTCTCCTGTGTTTTAGCTGGTGATATTTAGTCTTTGTTTGAAACAAAAGAATATTATTTAAACTGTTTGGAAGAAGAAGAAGAAGAAAAAACTTTGATTTAAGCTGAGGAAACATTTGAACTGCATGTGTTTGTTTTAAGTCTTACCTAAGGTACATTGTATGTATTGGATATAAAGTACTGGTAGCAACCACAGGAACCCTGTTTGGCTTGGTTATTCATTTGGATTAGGACAAGGAATAATTTTATAGCAGTGATAGTGCTGTATGCAAATCACATAACATGTAAACTTTAAACTAAAAATAGTTGAGTAAAATTTATACAGACCTACAAATGGCTGCCAAACCTGAGTTTGCCCAATTGGCATACTTGCTGAAAATTTAGTGATAAAAATATTTTATGATACTTGTAATGGCGTAGACCTGTTGCAGCTTGGTATTTGGATAGCATGCATGTTGCGGTAAAGATTAGACATATATATGTACTGCTGTGGTGACTCTTATAAAGCATTCCTAGAAATGTTTGCTTATTTTTATGTTTTTCCTTTTTCAGCATTATTAGCATCTCTCTGTATGTTGGATTGCGTTCTCTTCATGTGCAAGAGCCTCCTAGAAAACCAGTATGCTACAAGTTCAATGTTACTGTAAGTGCAAATTGCAAGCCAGTTTCTGTAAACTTGGTCGTCAGTATTTGTTCCTTATTTGTTGAAGGTCAAGAGTGTAAATTTGATTGGCTCATGGGAAGACAAATTGACAGAGAACAGAAAGTCAAATAAGATAATTTGGTTTGATCAACTGAGTTGATAGAGTCAATTGGCCACTACAAAGAGTTTCTATAGCTGATGTTTGCCCTTTACGTTTGCTCCGATGAAGGGCAAACACTCGAAATGTCACCTCATAAACTCTTTACGGTACCCAATTTACATTATCAACTCAGTTGATCAAACCAAATCATCTCATTTTAAACCCAAACAAGTTTGAAATCATTTTATGACCCAAGCTTGGGACAAGGTAAAAGACCTGAACCTCAAACAAAGAAATGAACCTAAGGCCAGATTGTTTGAAGCTGGGCTAAGAAAACCCAGGATTAGTGTGAAATTAGATTTCAAATCTAATAGCTTTAAAAGAAAATTCATCATGAATAATAAAATTATTTTGTCTAAAATTTAATAATTAGGTGCTCTAAAAAGAAAAGAGGAAATTATCCCAACAAGGCATTTGGAAAAAGGAGTAAGGAAACCTGGATAAAAGTTTATCCTTGGGTTATGGCTAATTGGTCTTCAAGCAAACAGGCCCAGAACTTTAGAAATATTATAAGAATTTCTTCTTTAAATTTGCAGATACTATTTGATAATAGTAACCACGATGGAAAGGTGCCTGTCACTTTGATTTCTGAAGGAAGCATTACAAATGCCTGCGCTAATAGTAACTCAACTTATCAAGGAGTTGAAGGTACTAGAAACACTAACTTTGTTCTCTTTATACAAACTGCAGACGCATAGATGTATGCTGTAAAAATATGCCTACCAGGTGTCATGCCTGCGGGCAGATCAAAAACTTCAATTATATAGGCAGGGATATAGCTAAAGTTTTTAACAGGCGGGAATCTTGCAATGATGGGTGGGTATTTGGGCCGAAGGCCCACTCTAGCGTGCCTTTGGCACGCTATACCTAGATTTGAAGGTGTAAACAAATGAAATAAATAAATAACAATCTTCTGACAACATTTAAAAACATTTTGGAGAAAGAAGTAGTACTTCACAGCCGGAAAAATCGCCTTCACAACCGAGTAATTTTCCCGGCTATTATCTACATCCCTGATAGGGAAAAGAGAATTTGTTTGACAATAAGGAGCTTTTCTCTCATGACCTCTACGTTTGATCAAGGCTCATACTGTAAGGAGAAGTTAGAGGCCAATCACTCTCAGGGGTGAAAGAGGTTTTAAAAAGTTAAAACTAGCTCCTTTGTATTGCCTCTTACACCTAAGAATTTTGGTTTATACGCATTTATATTTATATATATTGTTTTTGCTTTGATCGTTGTTTAGATTATCAAACATCCAAAACACTGCGCATATTTGTGGACATTTTGCTAATAATCTGGTGCATTCTCTCAGTAACCCTGTGCTTACGTTCAATCTTCCGCCACTTGCAGCTTGTAAAGGTAAAACATTAAATTGGTTGAAACCACTGTCTGAGTTTAAGAATTTAACCCCCTTGGTGGCCTCTTGGGAATGCTTGTGTTGTTCAAAGCGTAATATGACCCTTACGGTCAGATGACGCCATCATGTGGAATGCACACTAGGCGCAGCAGAGAGTGTCACTGATTTTCCTATCACATATTGACGTCTGTCATCTATTACTAAACAGACGCACGGTATGATATGAAAGCAAGTTCTTGTTGAAGGTGACGTTATATTTGCGTTTGTGTATAGATAGATCATGACTTAGAACCAATTAAAAATGCCTGAGCTGATGAGGGTAAAGCCCGAATCAATTTTCACGCACAGAAATCGAGAGTAACTAAGACTACGGTAATTGTTTCTCCTCTTGTATGGGATTCTATAGTACGCCATTGTGACAGGTTTTCTCCCGAGAAGATCGCTTTTTTTTTTTTTTCCCAAAAAGAGATTTGAAAGAGCTTCCAAGCATCTTGAGCCCTCTTCCGATCGGCATACTAGCCGTTGGAAGAATCTCGTACGTCAATGAAGCATGCCATTTTAAATAACCACAAATAAGTTTCCAACCCAAATCTGTTTTCTCGTTAAACTTATTTGCGTTGCAAATTTTGATGATATTAAATGATGTATTTCAGGTTAACCGGAGATTTTTCTCTCGAGAACTTAGACCGTTGAACCCTTTTCCGATCGGCACACTAGCCGTGGGAGGGTCTTGTACGTTAATGGAGCATGCTATCATAAATAATCAAAAACAAGTTTCCAACCCAGATCTTTTCTCTCTTTAAACCTATTTGCGTTACAAATTTGAATGATATTTTGTTCTATTTCAGGCAACCCGAAGATTTTTCTCTCGTGAACTTGGAGACCACCTGTCTTGGTATGACTGTTTAGACCTTATGAACTTGTGGTTTGTGTTGATTGCCATCAGTGACACCTGCGCTATCTTTGGATCCGTGATGAAATTTCTGATCGACTTAAACGTAAGGAGTTTTCTTTTGTAACAATCAGATAGACTTATCACCTTTTGTAAAGTTAACCTAGACCTCGCTCTCACAGGCTTATCTCTATGTTAGGGAAAGTTTTGTTCTGTCGGTGGCACACTTCTTTCCGAGAGATTTTCAAAGGTGATATGATATTGGAATTTTAGCCAGTCACTGGGAAGAGGGGGTATTGGCCACGGACTAGCTTCCCTTCTTGGGATAGTAGCAGGTCTCCTGTTCGTCATGGTATGGGAATTAAGCCGCAAGACTCACTTCATTCAACTTTCGTGCGAGAATTAGAAAGCCTTAATCATTCTAGGATCAAAAAGGAGCCAGTTATATTTCAGAAGAGTTTTCAAATACAACTTCCCTTAGCGACGGAGGGGGGGGGGGGGAGATGTAGCTCACTACTTCCCCCGCCTCCTTGCATCTCTACAAACTAGTAATATTTCCAATTCATGTAGTGACAACAAAGTTAGGTGGAGATTAATTACTAATTTAATAAATATGTTGCCCCTTTTTTCCGCTTTCCCTCAACGAGTACCATTTTTTCAGAGCAACTGAATGTTCTGGATATGTGAGTATCATTTATTGCGAAGTGGTAAAAGAGATAAGTGGAGATTCAGTTCTGATTTTTGTGTTGCTAACGAGGGTTCTAACCCGTGTATCTGTATTGTAGGTTACGCAAGAAGTTTACGATCTTTGCAGCATATTCCTCGGGGTGGCGGTTTTGCTGACCTGGTGTGGATTGTTGAGATACCTCGGTCATTTGAAGAAGTACAATGTAAGTTAAATCAAGATATCCGATCTGCAAAGATTAGTGATAAGGAAAAAATTGGGTTCTTTCGAGGATTGGATGATACATGTTTGACTTTTCATGAGAAACGGGAAAGTCTTGGCAGGACAGAACTAAGATCCGCATATTGCTAGCCCGTATTTGAAATCCATGACAAGCTCTGATTTTATTTAATTTCAGCAATTATTCACCGAAGTGGAAGTGTTTAATAGCGGTTATTTACCGTGCAATTTTCGTACGTTTGGAACAGCTGCCACTTTCTTCGAAAATAATAATTTCTTATTTGGCAGTCGTACCGAAACGGGAAGCCTCTGAGTTTTTCTGCAGTTGCTCGAGTATTTAGGTGAATATTACTCCGCAAATCCCCTCTGAGCCAGGCAATCAGCGCGAAAAAGATCCTAACGTTTATAGAACTTTTCAACAGCATTATCGTTACGATCATTCCCTTGGTAGAACATTGAGTAATTAAACAAATAATCAATCCCGTCTGAGTTAAAAACCATATTTTCTTGCAGATTCTTTTGGTTACTTTAAAAGCAGCTGCACCCAGCGTGCTGCGTTTTTCAGTGTGTGGTTCATTGTTGTATTTTGGTTATCTTTTCTGTGGTTGGATCGTTCTTGGACCTTATCATGAGAAGGTATGCAGCGAATTATTTTCCGTAAGCGTTACGCAGTTGTTAGACTTGTCGTCACGCAATGCTCTATACATTTTGTGGTCGAAATAACTGCAGTGAACAAATTTGAGCGGCAGACTCCATGTCATGACGGTAGTTGTCGTTTGGGTTCGTCACACAACTTGCTCTATCTTGTTACGTGACGAGCCAAGCGAAGGGTTCGAGTGGGAGTTTCCCGAGTTGCGTGACGTATTTACGATGGTTGTAAGGAAACACGTCCTTAAAGAATTGTCGCACATTCTTTACTTTGCTTTCTGGTTCATTAGCATCGAACATCAGTAAGGAAGGCACGATGTCCCCGGCTACGCGATCAATACGAGTTAGATGATATGGCTTAAGTAGAAAATATACGGATGATATTAAATACATCAAAAAACGAATACTCTATCTGAACTGCGCAAGGATACAAATTTTTGGTAGCGAAAAGGAGCCCGAAGTCAACTCGCGTCTTGGAAAGACACGAACTGCATTTACACATTACTTTTTGCTAGGGTAGGAAAATTTCTAAAATTCGCAAAATTTAAGAACACAACAAGGAACCTAGAGAATGAAGAAGATTAACACACCATTTTCAGTGGCGAGTGTGCCAATTTTATGTTAAATATTAGGGATCCTAGAAATACAAAATTTTCATGCTCTGTCATGTTTCACCGTCTCTTCACTTTCCTCAGTTCCGTGACTTGTGGACCGTATCAGAATGCATGTTCTCGTTAATCAATGGAGACGACATGTTCATGACGTTTGCAGAGATGAATCAGAAGAGCTACGCTGCCTGGGTTTTCAGCAAGATCTACCTGTATACCTTCATCTCACTGTTCATTTACGTGGTCCTCAGTTTGTTCATTGGTATCATCAGCGATACGTACGAGAGGATAAAGGTAGGAATGGCTGCGTTACATTTACTAGGTGCTGCGTTGTATATTTGAAGCATGGAGAAGGGGGATATGAAGCGAAAACCGGCTCTTTAGTTGACAATACCAGTGTAATGCGTGTGATATCGAGAACTAAACGGTGCCTATGAGCACTGACACAAACATTGCTAGTATTTGTGAGTAAAGAGTTGGAACACGACATTAACTTAAGTAACTAACCCAAAAGGGCAACCTCGCTTTACCAACAGATCGATATTGACCAATCACAACTGAAGTAGGTGAAGTGAGTCTCGAAGACAATGACTTCACGTCAAAACCGACCAATCAGTGTCTTTTAAGTATACTCGGAACTTCCGACTAGCAACGTGGCTTTTGGAATGTCAGGCGCTCGAAACGACAACAGTTCATACTTCCGAGACTCAAGTTAGCCTTTTTTATTTTTTTTAATTTTTAACGTCATTTCTTTCAGGATTGGGGTCACCCCCCTTGCACGAAGCTACAGCGATTCGTCCACGGTAATAATTGCCAGCGGTGTAACGTGGAGTACAGAGACCAAGGAGAGGTGAATGAAGAGTTAACAGGAGGAGCATCAGATTAGAATATCACGATTTCAAACACATTTAAAAATAAATATAAACAATTAAATCTACGAAATTATGTACATGATATTTTAAAAAAGCATGGCTTTTACTCGAATCTAATTTGACGTATCAATTTCACAATGATCCAAATCAAGGTATATTTTTTCTCTAAGGAATCGTTGTTTAAAAATCTCTTTTCCAGGTTATCGATTTCTGTTCACCCTGGTGTAAAGCATGAAACAATGTTAATTTGTTTGTGCTCCATTCGAAAAGTTTAAGTTATCCGTGTCGGATTCAATACGAAAATTTTATGGTGGCAAATAGTCCAAAATACATTCGATTTCAGACGTAAAATCAGCCTCACTGATCCAACCATATTCAAATTAATCTAATAAGTGGAACTGAAACAGAGGGGAAAATATTTTTTTACATTTCGAATCAATTTGGTCTTCCTCCTGTCAAAAGTGGGCTGTAAGTTATCTTATTTGTTCGTCCGAGTTTTTTTGGTTTCTGTTTTTTTTTTTTGTTTGTTTGTTTTTTTTTGTGATCGTCTGGGTAGAGTTTCTGCAAATGGTGCTTACTTGAATTTGCTCCTCTTCAGGGCTGGTCTCTCTTTGTTAAACACTTCTTTTGCTCAATACTGGAAAGCCTCTTTTTGGGAGTGATGATGAATTTTTTTATTTTCATGTAATTCATTTTTGTTTGCTTCTTTCTTTTTATTGGGAGTGGGAGTGGGGGGAGGGGATGCAAGGCAGGATTGGTCTCTGTCAAGATTGTAAATATTCAGAAGGAACAAAGAATTGAAAGAAACTCGTCTTAATGTCTGGTAAATTTTTCTTGCAAAAATATTTTTAATTGAAACCACACCCTTGAGACTTGTAGATTATCTTTTTGACGTTTGCAAGTCATAACGGTGAAAATAAAATTTAAAGAAAAATAAAAAGCCTCTTCTGTAAATTATTTGTTCGTTTGTTTGTCTTTTGTTTTATTTTGTTTTGTTTTGTTTTTTTGTTTTTGTTTTTGTTTTTTTTGTCGTAATATTCTAGGCAAGGTTGGCGGGGCACAAATCACACCTTTTTTTCCAAAACTCGCTAATCCGATTCACTTTTTTCTCGTTTTTCATTCAAATTACCATCACACATGAAATTACAGAATTTTGTACTGCTAGATCGTATTGTCCTTAAGCATTAACTTGCACAGCTCATCGACCCTATTTGTATCTTTATTTACTTTTTGATCTTGCATGTTCTTGTCTAACTGTCTGACGAAATCAAATCGTGCTTTTTGATTAGAATGACCAGTATACGACACATCACAGAACAACTTAGATGAGTTGACAATTTGTGTCAGCACCCCTTACGTCGCAAATGGTAAAAGCCATTTACTACACTCGCGACACCGAAAAAAAAAGTATTATTGCAAAAGGACACTAATTCAGAAAAATACTGGAACACTTCAACTGAAAGCCCTTCGGAGGTGGGACCACTGTGTGCAAGAGAATTACGTGTCACTTCCAAAACCCCTGATTGACTCCCTCCTTTAAAGTTTGACCCATAATCGTTACTCGATTGAAAAGACTGTACGGTACTCTTAATGTAAGTCGAAAGACACGTGCTAGTTTAGTTCGAAACTGGAATGGTGGATAATTTTCCTATCACAATTGCACTCTGGTTAAACCCACGATTCATAAACAGAGTTATACAGTTCTGAAAGCAGCACACATTTTGACCTGAAATTGTAAAATAAATTGAAACTTTTCGTAGTTGATCAACCGTGAACCTGATTGGTCCGCCCTTCGGCTCGCCTACGCAACGCCCTCCTACACGCCTCTTTTCAAGAGCGCGTAGACTGGAACCAACCTACTTTTCCCGCCAACTTCATATTCAAGATGGCGGAGACGGTGGAGTCTCTGACGGAAATTACCGAAGTTGGCTCGCAAATTGAAGAAAATCCAGCGATCCAGGATGAAGATCAGCGTACGAGACTGACACAGTTTCCTCAAACTAGAATTCGCAATATGATGAAAATCGATCCAGACCTTCATTTGGCCAACAGAGAGTCGGTATTTCTTCTAACCAGAGCCGCCGTGAGTGTCTTTTTACACCACTTCTTCAGTTCGCTCTAGTTTAAATCGGCAGAAAGTCGAGTTTGTACGTGTGATATTCTGATTAACATTTAGTTTTCAAGGCTTTCGATCTCTGTCTAACACGTGGCTGTCGATAAATAGGGGAATTACGCATACAGTGCGTGATGGCGATCTAACCGAGTGGAGTACATCGGTCTTTGGTAATGCAAGTGGTTAGCAAAATCGAATAGCGATGCTGGACCCCGAGTATGATTACAGAGAGAACTGGATGATATAAAGTCCTTTTATTTCTTCTTGATCAACCCTTGCCATGTTGCACTACTTAGCCATAAAGGGGTGCACATGCATTGAGTTTCTATGAAAAAAAAAAAAAAAAAAAAAAATATATTTCTGTTATTGTTGTTTACACGACTACTAATTTAATGTACAAACGGCAAAAAAATATTAACTAAGTGTTTCCTTGACGCTGTGATTTAAAACTATTTTGACACTTTTTTAAACACTGTAGGAGCTGTTTGTTGATCATGTTGCTAAAGAAGCGTACAAAAGAACAATTATGGGCAAGAGAAAAACAATACAGAAAAAGGACCTAGGTAAATAGTTGCAGTGTTCATGAGAGATGATGGAAATTTAACCCTTTAGCTCACAGAGGTGATTGACAAGTAACTACTCATTATGATTCAAATATGTTGTCCTGTGAACAGGTTGTGTGAAGTCAGACATGATAATGGGCCTGCAGGTGTTATCTTGGCATAACACTAAATTCTCTTGTGCAATTTGTAAGGAAATGTTTGACAGTCAGTTGGGAGAATAACCCTATGGATATTGCTTGTTAAAGGGTTAATGTAAATAGCTATTTGTGAAATATTCAAGGTGCTGGTGAATAGGTTTTTATAGATAAGAGCCTGGAAACACATAACAATTCCTCCAGTGCTTAGAGTGTGTTTCTACATATCTTCCATAGATACTGTTGTTGATGAAAATGAAGAAATGGCATTTCTAGAGGGTAAGTAAACACCTGCCTTTTACTCTCTCTTCTATTTTTCCCCTCTCTTCTATTTTTCCCATTTTACACACTAGTAATCTTGATTTTTTTCTGCAGTGTTGTCCAAACAACTAATCTCGGAGTGTGTTTTCTAGATAAGCATAAATCTCAACTTTTTTCTCACAACTGTTACAAATTGTTCATGAGCACTTACACAAGATGACCTAATTTTTTGAACGTATATTGACTAAGTGGCATACTAAATGTTTTTTATTTATTTACTTATTTATTTTATGGAACACAATTAACCATACAGCAACTGCTAAAATAAACTATAATATCAGACAAACTAAATTGAATTAACACTAACAGCAGCAATATAGTTGTCTGAAGAAATTCCACTGCCAAAACTCTGTATGCCTTCTTCCAAATTTCCATTGATGTCACAAAAACATATCTTGTCTCACTGTTCAAGCTACATTCAGTTTGGTTGTTTTTCTCTTCCTCTTTAGGTACCTTGGACTAATCTTTGTGACTCATCTTGCTAAGCGGCCATCACTGATCACTGATTATGAAGAAAGTAATTAAATTTTCAACATCCAAAACAGATGAATGATCATGCAGCAGTTTTTGTGATAGCATTGTCGACCAGAGAATGAAGAAATGAAGGGAGACCTTCTCTCTAGTATGGCTCAGGGCTCTAAAAAGTATCTTAACCCTTCAACTCCCAAGATCTGATTGTTAATTCTCTCCTCTAGCTGCTACACATTTCCTTGTGAATTGGTTACAAGAATTTGGTGTTCAATCAAGATAATATCTTGTACCTGAGAAATCTCACTACCTGTTTGCTGGATAATGTATGGATACTGTTGGGAGAAGTTACATTTTAATCACTTCTGGGAGTTAAAGGGTTGAGATTATTGTCTTATGAATTTTAATCAAAGTTTATTCTTCATGAATAAACTTTGGTAACTTAGCTGCTGTGTGTTTGTGCTAACTGGCAGTACTCTAGCAGGCAGAGTTTAGTCTAGTCTGGGACCTTTGGACAGTTGATGCCTCACATGAAACAGTCTTTAAGAAGAAATTATGTGTCTTGTATAGTGACTTTTATAGTGCAACAGTTACACAAGATGCATAGTCTTTTGTAAAATTAGTAGAAGACCAGCAACTTTAAGTTCTGGTGACCCAATATGCACTTGTGAGAATTTGCTTTTCATTGATTAAATGCAATTGATGCATACTTGTTAAAACTGCTTAGTAATCAGCTGCATCATAGCATCCTATCTACTGAGTTTTGTCATAAAATTTTGTAAATAATGTAATTTTAGTGTTTGTTATGGTACGAAATACATCAAAGAACTAAATTTTATGCTTTGGTCCTATTTTTTAAAAATTAATGTTAATAATGGATACTAGATTGCACCAAAAACATTTCTATTCTTGATTTGTCAAAACAGACCACATCCGAAAAAAACTTACTCCCCAAAAATAATTTTCAGTCAGTTTCTTTCATATATTGATTAAAAAAATATCCTCTCAAAAGTTTTAACTATTTAAAAAGCCAAGCAAGATACCAAAACTTTTCTTACAAAACCTTACATTCCTCAGATAGAAAAACTACGCCTCAAAAAAACTATCCTCTTGATGCAAGTCAACAGCTGTCAGAAACACAAAAGCCCCAGACTGTAGAGCACCAATCAACACTGATCTAAACTTGTCTGCATTGTATTGTAAGCAACGCAGAAGGGTTTGATTCCAAAAGGAACGTGTCGTTCATCTTGTCACAAGGATAAGATGAAGAAAGACTGAGTTGTAAGAAGGAATTAAGCCCAATAACTTTTTTCTTTTAATTTGTATAGTCAATATTTTTTGTAAAAGTTAAAAATTTTTCCAAACTCGGAGCTAAAAATTAAAACTTATGAAATATTTCGTCCGTATTTCGACCGGACTTCATCAGTCAATGATATGAATGTTAAAAAGATGAATTTTAAAAAAGGTTTTTTTTTTTAACGCCTCTTGGGAGTTAGAATTGTGCCAATTCTATCACAATTCTAACTCCCAAGAGGCGTTAAAAAAAAACCTTTTTTAAAATTCATTTTTTTAACATTCATATCATTGACTGATGAAGTCCGGTCGAAATACGGACGAAATATTTCATAAGTTTTAATTTTTAGCTCCGAGTTTGGAAAAATTTTAAACTTTTATTATGCTTCCGGAGCAGGAAATTAACGTTTTTGATTGTAATATTTTTTGTGTAAATGCTTGCACTGCTGGTCAAGTCAACTGATTATGAAAACTCATCAGCCAATTACGCTAATACTTTTCTTTCTTGCTGATCACGCGAGAGTGAACTAAATACATTTATTCCCCTCCGTCGCGTGAAATTGTCCATCCTAATCTAATCTTCTCAAAAGGGTGATTATTCATGATTATTGTTGCGTAACTTATCCGTTTCCCTTCGAAGCTTTCTCGCGTGTTTCTGGTTCTCGATGGTACTCGCGCGCATATATAGAGGGAAACTTTCGATCAGGCGGCATCTACACCCTGCAGGGTGTAATTTCGAAATTTAGATGGAGTCTTTGCTATGAACTTGATGATCGGGCTAACTCTTTAGCACACGTGCTTTTGAAGGGCTCGTGTGTGTTATTTTCCGTCCTTTGTCTTCGTGCATGAGCCATGTCCATATTTGCAGAAATGCACTTTCCATATTTGTCGATGGCTCCCATAACGAGAATTCGTGTCGTAAGAGGTTCAGTTGTGGTCAAAGGACGGCCACAGTTGCATAAGCTTACTTAATGTATGTACATGTAACTAAACCGAGCGGACTTTCAAAATAATTTTTAACTTTTCAAGACGCTACGTTGAATCATGTACCGAACGGCTTTTCGCGCGGGAAAGCGTTTGTACTCGAGCGGTTTACGGAAGGCAATCGACAGTGATTTTCCTGCTAAGTCTACAGATAGGGCGATCAAAGCTTCGCTGATGCTGGTGCGATGTTCTTCAAGTTCAAGTCAGAAATTCAGTCTAAGTCAAATCGCTCCATCGTCAGATGCATTTTGTCGTCGACATATCGGACCTGATGCCGAGGAGGAAAAGGAGATGCTTCGAACACTCAACTTACAGGTAGATATACCACAAACGCAGTTTCGCGCCGGAGGCATTATTCTCTTTTAGCGTGGAGCATATCTTCTTTGATAGTCATTACAATTACTAGGCTTAAATGTTAAACTCGTGAAAATATTTTTCAGCACATAGATGATCTGATCGACAAAACTTTGCCATCCACAATCAAGTATACCAGGACCCTTGAAATCGACGAAGCTCTTAGTAAGTCTTACGACCACATGCAGTGTTCAGCGTGAAATATTACTATGTTGGTTTGCTTTTGCGCTTAAATCATTAAAATCGTGAACTGTTTTTGTTAAGATTCCCTTACATTCTTATCTAAACTACAGCACTTCATATCTTCGCATAAAAGATATCTTAAGAACACTATTTTTAGTGCGATTGTTATGAAATATTCGGCGCGGTGCCCTTCCGGTTTGAAAGGAACTGAACTCAAATTTACGAAAAAGTAAAATTCCGGGCACGGTCGCGAAAATCTTGACTCTTGTTTTAATAAAACTACTAGATAAATCGACGAAGACGATCACTATGGTGTTAATTCCGCGAGCGACGTAGTCGACCCTTCCTTGCTAGGGGTGATCAAATTAAAAATTTTAAATTTTGAATAAAATTAAGATTGTTTTGTTGGTTACGTCACGTCAATATCAAGAAATGCGACTTCTTTATGGTGCATTCTGTCTGTAGCTCAAAATTCTTTGACGCAGAAAGAAATGTTTTGCTGAAATGTTTTTGCCACTAACATGTTTTAGTTACATCTAAGCCCAACAAGTTCTCAAGGAACCGACTGATAGAAATTAATGATGCGTAGCGAAGGAACAAGTTAAGACCCGTGCAAAAAGGGTCCACTGCCACTGCCTTGAGGGCTGCGACATGCCATTAAGCAAATCTTTTGTTGAAAGCATCAAAATGAATTTGGAATGTCAAGTTTTCAATTCAACACGCAAGTTATGAATTGAGGCATAGGGAAATATTAAGGAAACGTTTTATAATATTTTTTTTTTGTTATTATTTTTATTTTTTTATTTATCTTTTATTTTCATACATTCATTTTCTTTTATTTCTTTCATTCACTCACCGTGTGAGTTATTCCCATCGTTGTAGTTAATGACATAAATGCAAATTTGTCAAGAGTCTCAAGTTTACAAGATTCTTTTGTGAAAAATGATAGATTAAGAATGAATTTACAAAGGGCTTGGGAGAGAACAAAGTAGTAAGTTTCCACTGTTACTTGGCATCAATTGTTCAGGGCAGTTCAGAAGTGATCGTCAACAATACCCTCAATATGGACTTAATTAAAATCTTGGAGCCATCTAAAGAGCCTCACCCTCCCCACCCTCCTTCCCTTTTTGTGGTCAAGGCTTTTGTAAACATTCTAAAAGATCTCATGTAAAACTTTAGGTATGTTTCTAATAAGCCCTAGTCTCAATCCTTCCCCATTTCAAATGAAACCAGTGGGAAAAAAACTGTTGTTGGATTCTATATGAGGGATTGTACCACAGTTTTGTTATCTAGTCTGGCTAACAGTGCTAAGAACACTTGAACTTGAAAACTTGTTTAAGTAACTATTTCAGATATAATAATTTTTTAATCAAATTAAGCACAATACCAAAGGCAGAATTTATTCGAGCTGGGTGACTGTTGAGAAGAAAAATGTTGATTAGAATGAAACAGCCCCCAATTAGTCTTTAATTGGCCAGCTCTGATTATCCCTGTCTGTAAGCCCTGGAAAACAAAGAGCCCTCATGTACCTTGTTATTACAAAAGCCTTGAAAATTTCCTTAGTTTTTTCAACCATTCACACTCTAACATCAGCATGCACTGTCCATATAACTCTCTATACATTTCCTAAGGTGCTGCAAAGGAGAATTTGTTTGACAATCAAGAGCTTCTTTAGGGGGTGATCATTTCCTTTATTCTTACTAGTGACCTTATTTTGTGATTCAGGAGAAATTAGGTCCTGGTCACTATTAGGGCCAAACGGTTATTATTAGTCCTTTTCATGAATCAAACAGTGCAAAAGCACCAGTTATTGCAATAAACTTATTGCAGCTTAATTAATAATGGCAAAAGGGACTGAGTGGAGTTCAACTCAGTCTGTGATCATACAAGTGATTAACAAAATCAGAAAACTGCAAAACAAGATTCAAATTTGTTAATCCTGAGTACAATTAAAGACAGAATTTGGACAACATGAAGTCTTGTGAATCAAAACTAAGACAATATTTGAGAAAGAAACTAGATATTCATTATATATAAGTTTTCATTAAAAAAAAAAACAAAAAAAACAAAAAAAACAAAAAAAAAAACAGTTAACTCAGTGAAATGCACATAACAGCAGGATACTTTTGTGACACTTACTGTCTGCTTACACAAGCATGATGTGTCAACTGTCCTATTATACTGTCCAATTACAAGCATGACATGCACAATGTTCTATTAGTGTTCAAATCAGGCTGGTGATAACAAATCATATTGAAGAATTTTAAAGTTTTGATTAAATCTGTTCTGGTATTGCTGTACAGGTGAACCTGATCTTTTGGAGAAGTTACGACAGGTGGCTAAGCACAATCAAATCTGGAGGTCATACATTGGAATGGGATATCACAACTGTCATGTACCTACCACAATCTTGAGAAATATTTTGGAAAATCCTGGCTGGTATGTTTTATCTTGGAATTCATTGAAATGTAGATAATTATTCTTGATGGCATCAAAGTATTATGCACAAGTGCAAGTTTCAATTAAATATGGACAGTGATCTTTCATAGTTTTAGTTTTGCTTTACTTTGCTACAGTCTAGAAAACTTGTTTCTACATCTCAACCAATCAAATGCAAAGCTAATTAAAAAGCAATCCTTACTTCAACACAGGCTTGAACATTGGAAGGTTATATGCATAACAAAATATTACAATCAGCAATTAAAGTTCACTACCAAAAGTGATTTAAATTGTAAACCACTACACAAATTTTCATTAAAATCCATTAAGCAATCCATTAACACCAATAATCAGCATTTTTTCTTTTTGTATTTAAATGGGAATTTTTAGGGAGAATTGGAGAACTCCTGATTTTGTACAGGCAGCTCTTAAATTCCATGACTCAGGTTTTTTTAAGTCATTGTTTTGTAAATCTTGACCCCCGCAGGACCACACCCTATACCCCATACCAACCTGAACTGGCTCAAGGAAGACTGGAGTCCCTGTTGAACTTTCAAACAATGGTCAGTGACCTCACAGGGCTGGATATTGCTAATGGATCACTTTTGGATGAAGCAACAGCAGCTGCTGAGGCAATGGCATTGTGTTACAGGTAGAACTTTACTGGCTATTGTTTTTTCCTCAATAATTTTTGTTGTTAGACAAATTTTAATTTTGTTCTCATTCACATGAAATTTAAATTCCTTAAACTAGTTAAATAATGAGTTAATTTAGTATTATCGACTGAGTTGATAACGTAAATTAGCCATCTTAAAGAGTTTTAAAGCTGAGGTTTTGAGCGTTAGCTCTTTGTAAGAGTAAATGAGGGAATTGTGGGTTGTCTGTGTGTTTTATAATTATGCAGAAAATGAAGGTGAATGATGATATGGGTTCAGGTCTTGACTTTGCTCTTTGTCAATACTTAAATTTTTAGGATGAAAAATCCAATTCTTGCAGACCTACATGTGTTCCTTTTCAGCAAAGTCAAAAATAACAATTTGCAAGGTTATCTTTCAACTTATCAGACAAGTTCAAGCAACTATTATTTTTCTCAATCACTGAAGTTTAAAATTACACGACTTTTAATTTCACTCTAAGTTACATGTATATGAATTTGTAGTACTTGAGAAAATTGGGGTCCTACACTCATCAGACAAGTTAACATAATGATGTGGGTACAGGCCTTGATTAGGAACTTCAGATATTGTATTCTAGTGTAAAACCACCAACTTTTGCACTCAATTTAAACCTTGATCCTTAAGTTTTTCAAGAATGGAGGATTGATGATCAAGTTTTATGGACTTTTTCCTGTTACTGTACAGTGACTTGAGACAATTTCCTTTCTCTAAAGGACAAGAATCCCATGCAATGTAGAAGCAATACCCACCTTCATCGATAGGTTGCTATGGAAACTAAGATAATTTCTAGTCATTTGCACCACTAGGTTCCCATGTAAGCTTAATTAATATTGTATGTATTATTTAACGAAAGTTAGACTTTCTCATACTTTACTGTGAAAATCTGTTGTCTTTTGTGTGCTTTAGGCATACCAAGAAGCCTAAGTTTTTTGTGGATAAGAATTGTCATCCTCAAACCATTTCTGTTGTGCAGACAAGAGCAAGGTAAGTCCAAGTAATTTATTTCTATTTTTTTCATTAATTAGCTATTGTGATATTACTTTTAAATTGTGTTTATGCCTTACGAATTTAAAACTTCCTATTTAGGTTAGTTTGTTAGTTTTTGTTAATTTGACTGAAAAGTTTAACTGACAGGTTCAAATGGCAACACAACAATGACCTAGCATTACAGATGGACCAAAGCTGACTTATCACAACTGACTCACCCCTTGTGAGTCCAATTGACAATAACATTATGCCTAAACTGTCCAATTAGTTCACATGAAACAGACTTAATACATTTGACTGAAAATAGCACTTCACCTGACTCTGATGATGACTTTCTCTCAGGTTGTCAAAATGTTAGTTACTACTACCGACAATGGTCCTTTTCAGGACTTCTTTCACTTGAACAATCAGACTACAAGATCACATGACAATTATTGATTGTCAGTGCAAATGCAAATCAGCATCAACCATAATTAAACAACATCCACTGAGTTCAAAACTTGTTGAACTGTAAACTTTATGACAATACTGGACACATTTTTGTAGAGTAACTTTTTCTTTTCCTTCTAGCACCCTAGGTCCTGATGGGGAAGGTTTACAAATAATCATTGGTGACAAAGAATCATTTGACTTTTCCAATAAGGATGTCAGTGGAGTGCTTTTTCAATATCCAGATACCAGTGGCAAAATTGATGATTTCTCTGAATTGGTGAAAAAAGCTCATGATGTTAAGGTGTGTCAAAAGTCATGTAGATTTTGAAAATGTGTTTAACTTGGGCCACAGGCCAGCCAGCCAGTGGGAGAGATGATGACCTGATGTTCAGAACCCTAGATTTAAAAACCTAGGTTCAAACTCTGGCCATGATCATTGCTAGGATGTTGCTTGGTGAACAGATACCCATTTTACCTTTTACTCTTCTTTGAAAGCCCTGAAAACCCCACATTACACTTTTCTTCAACCATGGGCACCAACAATCTTTAACAGTTTGACCCTTAAGAGTGACTAGCATGTAATTTCACCCCTCTGTATCACCCCTGAATCATTAATTATGGTCACAAGAATAAAGGAAATGAGTACCAACTAAAGAAGCTCTTGATTGTTGAACAAATTCTCCTTGTCAGCACCTTAAGAAATTTTAAGAGAACAGTATTGAGAATATGGGTAAAAAGGGTAAATAAAATTGACATGTACTGCTGACTTGAGTGTACTAGACTAGTATTCCATCTAGGGGTAGCGGCAAAAGCTTGAGTTGGTTTGTGCTACAGATACATGTCCTGCAGTAGTAAAATAAGCTATGATAGCTATGCATGTCAGTCTTGAATGCAGACTTAAACTTTAAAATTGACCCATCTAGGCATTAGCAGTGTGTGCGACAGATCTTCTTGCCCTTACAATACTGAGGCCTCCTGGGGAATTTGGTTGTGATATTGCCATAGGATCCACACAGAGATTTGGTGTTCCCCTTGGTAAGTTAGTGATATCTTGTTATTAAAGCTGTAAGTTTCTTTTACAAAGAATACATGATCATCATAATGACTATTTCGTTGGTTTTTGTTTGTTTGTTTGTTTTTTTCATTTTCAAGTTGTTTCCTTGCATGTTTATTTTGATTAATCTTTCTTTGGAGATAAAGTCACTGTAAACAAATGATTTAGCAGTAATAACAAGAAAAGAAAAGAAATGTAACTCTTATTGCTTTAGGCTATTTTTTCCTTCTAGTCCAACAGATCAACACACAAATGGCAGCCTTCTAAATTTAGACTTTTCTTTTTTAACTTTGTTTACTCAGGTTATGGAGGACCTCATGCAGGCTTCTTTGCTGTGCGCAACAAAGGAAACTTAAACAGAATGATGCCTGGAAGAGTGGTTGGTGTTACAAGGTAAAAAAATAATAATTTTGTCAAGGGTTCTTGCCCTTCATTTATCACAGACATAGTGCTTGATAGTACAGTGTTAGTAAATGACTTGAGATATAATTATATTGGATGACTTTGTGACTGATTGAATCAGCATTCATTGCAGTTGAAGCACAGATATCACATTCAGATTTTATGTTTCGCAGAGATTCCCAGGGGAAAACTTGTTATCGATTGGCACTTCAAACACGTGAACAACATATCAGAAGAGAGAAGGCCACCAGCAACATTTGCACAGCTCAGGTACAGTGGATTTGTACTAATAATTTACATTGCAGTTCTCACTTTGTTGCATCAACTCATTCAAGTATGAATGAGTAACAGTACTCTTAAATATCAGTAATACATTAATTGGTATTAGACATTTATTCAAAAGTCCTGTCACAACCTGTCTCATGACCTGACTGTTTTCAAGGTTCTGAACAATTAATGAAACTATACTTGACATCCACAAAGAGAGAGCATTTAAGTCCCACAAGTGACCAAGACAGAATTTCTCCTCACAATATCAATACAATATCAAGCAGATAAGTTATGAGAATAAAGAAAGATATCAATTAGGGGATTATAAGTTGATCCAATACCAAATTCTCCAAACTAACATTACAAGAAAAGTATGGCAGACAGTTAGTTTAGTTACTAATGAAATCTTGGGAGTTAAAGGGTTGAAAAAAAAGCATGATATATATATATTTTTTTAACCTTCATTTCTTTTTATTTTTATGATCTTTCAACAAAATGTTACCATTAAAAATGTCTGTAAAGAAGACTCATTTTTATTCCTGACAGTTATTTTTTTTAAAAAAATCTCGTTTCTTTGCAGGCCCTTCTTGCCAATATGTCGGCAATGTTTGCAGTCTACCATGGGCCAAAGGGATTGAAAAACATCGCTCAACGTGTACATAATGCAACTCTCTTGTTAGCAGAAGGTACTGATTACATTATGGTCATTAATTGTAAAGTTATACAGTCATGTAGTTTTGTTTGTTTGTTTGTTTGTTATTAAATTGATAAAATTTACCCTTAATGAAATTTTCTCTCACAATC